GAGACTCCAGCCCGGCTGGGCTCTGGGCTTCAGGCTCTGGGCAACTCCCGGTCAGTGTTGCACAGCCCCTCCCTGCAGCTGCCCCTCCAGGGTGTCCACAGGACATTCCCAGTGCCTGCTGCATCCCCCGCCAGCTGCCCGAGGTCACATTTTTTGGCAGGTAACACTCCCAGCACCCCTCGACTGGCCCCGGGCCCCAGCCTTTTCCTGAGCCTCCTCTCCAACTCCCTGCACTTTTTCAGGATCCACTTTCCACCATCACCGCTGGGGGCAGGTCGGGCTGGGGGCAGGTCAGGCTGGGGGCAGGTTGGGCTCGGAGGGGAGGCCCCTGGAGGAACAGTGGCTCTGAGTGTGAGCAGCTCCTTGGGAAGCACCGCTGTAGGGGCCAGAGGACCGCAGCTTCTCTGCCTTTCCCTCGGCAAATCTTTTCCAAGTACCTGCTCTGCCAGGCCCGGAGCAAGTCAGTCGAGGTGCAGAGGAGACAGGGCACTCTCTGTCCCCCAGAGCCCATCTGTGGGGTGGTGGCAGCAGCCACAGGCCTACAAGCGCTCGGGCCTGGGGCTTGGAGGGTGACCCAGAGGTCTGTCCTGCCTGGAAGGCTGCCGCCCCTGTGCCCCGGGGTCCTAGGTGGCCCTGGCCTGCGCCTTGGAACAAGCGGGTGACATTGTGGTATCCCATCTCCCCCCGCCCCTCCCTGTGGTGCTGAAGTGCTTGCCATTGGAATTGCCACTCCCACCGGGCTGGGCAGTGGCGGGCAGAGCTATCAGAAGGCTCCCCAGCCCTCAGGGGCTTCAGGGGACGGAGGGACCAGGGAGCCGGGCAGGTTTGGCCAACTGCCACCTCCCTAAGGCACCTGCAGGGGAAGGGTGGCAGTTTCTAGGAAGCCAACTGGCAGAGTGGTCCTGCCCAGAGGGTTACCGAGGGCTGCTGTGGGGCGGGGGGGGCTGCAGCTCAGCCAGGGAGGCCATGTGACCGCAGCAATGGGGAGCCAGGGAGCCACAAGGCCCCTGCACAGCCCACCGTCCTGCGCTCCAGAACCTACCTCTGGGGCTCCCTGGGCCAGGTGTTGGCTTCCGGGAAACATGGCCCAGACCTTGAAGGGGCAGGGGGTGGGGGGGTGGCCTTCAATGTTTTCCAGCATTATTCTTTTTTTTTTTTTTTTTGAGATGGAGTCTCGCTCTGTCGCCCAGGCTGGAGTGCAGTGGCCGGATCTCAGCTCACTGCAAGCTCCGCCTCCCGGGTTTACGCCATTCTCCTGCCTCAGCCTCCCGACTAGCTGGGACTACAGGCGCCCGCCACCTCGCCCGGCTAATTTTTTGTATTTTTTTTTTAGTAGAGACGGGGTTTCACCGTGTTAGCCAGGCTGGTCTCGATCTCCTGACCTTGTGATCCGCCCGTCTCGGCCTCCCAAAGTGCTGGGATTACAGGCTTGAGCCACCGCGCCCAGCCCGTTTTCCAGCACTATTCTAATGGCAGCCCCCAGGCCTGTTTCCTCTATAAATGGAGATGGCACTGGAGGGGAGCTGACCCCCAGGCCAGTCAGGAGCCCTGTGACAGGACTCTCTAGTGGGCACCCACCCTCGGGACCAGGCTCCCTGGACTCCAACCCTGCGCCCCCACGTCTCCCCTGCTGGTAGGAGGCCTGGGTGTGTGGCCCCTGCCAGTGAGCTGCTCCATGAGGCACTGAGCCTTTGACCTCTGCCCCAGGCTGTGTGGCCCGAGGCTCAGCGCTCAGAAGTAGACATGGGCATAAGGGGGAGGTCAGGGCAGAGCCGCAGAGCTGGGAACTCAGTGCTCAGCCGTGGACAGTGGGTTCCGGGAGCAGAGAAGGTTCTGGCCTCTCCCTGTAGCCTGAGCTGGCCATGGTGGGCAGGCGTGGCAGGGCAGGGAGGGGATTCCTACAGAGGGCAGCTCAGGCTACAGGACCAGCGGCCCCAGGAACATGAGGGTTGCCCTGTGTGTGTCTGGAGGATCAAGGGGGTGAATCTAGGTGACCGTGGACCACAGGCTGGGTGGCCACTCGTGGAGTCCAGGGCACCCAGGGATCTCCGGGGGCCTCTGGAACCCTCCAGAACCTTCCGGAATTTCACACTTGAATTTTGTTCTGTCCCGGGTTCTCCAGCCTCAGGTCCAATGGTCCACTCATGTCCAGGGCAGGCCCAGCGTGGGGCTTGGGCGCCGAGGGAGGGACGCACACCTTGAGCTCCTGCCGAGCCCAGAGAATGGAGGAAGTGGCCGGTGAGGGCCCAACTTGCTGGTGGGCCTCTCTGAGCCCAGCATCCTCTTCCGAAATGTGGGTGTGATATTCCTGTCTCCCAGGCAGACCTGCAGACCAGCCCTGCGAGGTGTGGAGTCAGCCCCTGCTTGTGCCCGGCCCCCGCTCACACTCCCACCTGCCCCCAGTGTGGCTGCGAAGTTGGAGGGAGGAGAGAGCCAGCCAGGGGTGTGGGCGCCGAGATCAGAGACTCGCACGCCAGAGGGAATGTGAAGCGGCCCAGCTGCTGGGGCACCTGCCGGCAGCTCCCAAAACAACCGAACAGTCACCACGGGACCCAGCAACTCCACTCCTAGGTGTGTGCCCAGGAGAAACGGAAGCTCCTGTCTGCACAAACACGCGTGCGGCTTCCTTCACTAAACTTGGAAACGGCCCAAGTGCCCCTGGGTGGGTGATGGATGAACCGGGTAGTCCGTCTGTACAATGGAATACTTATCCTTCCGCCACAAAAACAGAAGAAATTCTGAGGCAGGCTTCAGCACGGACAGGCCTTAAAGATGTGGTGTGTACACCACGGTTCATGTGTGTGATTCCATTCCCGAAAAGCCCAACACTGGTGAGCCCCTGGGAACAGAAGGTGGCTGAGTGGGTCTTTATGGCTGGGGGGCTGGGGCTGCGGTGATGAAGCTTTATTTTTGATGAAAATGTTCTGGGCCGGGCTTTGCGGTGGCTCACCCCTGTGATCCCAGCGCTTCGGGAGGTCGAGGTGGGCAGATCACCTGAGGTCAGGAGTTCGAGACCAGCCTGGTCAACATGGTGAAACCCTGTCTCTACTAGAAACACAAAAATTAGCTGGGCGTGGTGGCACAGGCCTGTAATCCCAGCTACTCAGGAGGCTGAGGCAGAAGAATCGCTTGAACCCGGGAGGCAGAGCTTGCAGTGAGCCGAGATTGCGCCACTGCACTCCAGCCTGGCGACAGAACAAGACTCTGTCTCTAAAAGAAAAAAAGAAAACATCCTGAATGGACGGTGGTGATGGCCGCACGTAGCTGCACGTACTGGAAACGGTGGAATCGCCACTGTCGGTGGAGAAATTCATGGAGCGTGAATTAAGGCTGACCCTGGAAAAAAGTGGGTTTGAACCTCGGGTGTCATCTCCACATGGATTTTCTCCCGCCTCTGCTGCTCCTGGGTCTGCAAGACCAGCCCCTCCTCTTCCTCCTCCTCCTCCTCAGCCTCCTCAACGTGAAAAAGACCAGATGAAGACAAGTTTAAGGTGATTCGCTTCCACTTGGAGACTATGAAACACATTCTCTCTTCCTTAGGATTTTCCGAATGGCATTTTCTTTTCTCAGGCTTACTGGGTTGTAAGAACACACTATACCACACATACATGATACAAACACGTGCGTCGACTGTTTATGTTATTGGTAAAGCTTCTGGTCAACAGTAGCCTCTCCGTAGTTAAGTTTCGGCGGAATCAAGAGTCATACTTGGGTCTGGCGAGGCGGCTCACTACTGTAATCCCGTCACCTTGGGAGGCCAAGGCGTGAAGATCACTTGAGGCCAGGAGTTTGAGACCAGCCTGGGCAACATGGCAAGACCCCGTTTCTACAAAAAAAATTAAAAATTAACCAGGCAAGGTGGTGTACATCTGTGGCCCCGGCTACTCGGGAGGCTGAGGTGGGAGGATCGCTTGAGCCCAGGAGTTCAAGCCTGCAGTGAGCTCTGAGCACACTCTGGGCGACAGAGCAGGAACATGCCTCAAAAAATAAAAATAGAAACCCCAGCACTTTGGGAGGCCAAGGCAGGTGGATCACCTGAAGTCAGGTGTTTGAGACCAGCCTGGCCAACATGGTGAAACCGCATCTCTACTAAAAATACAAAAATTAGCTGGGCGTGGTGGCAGGTGCCTGTAACCCCAGCTACTTGGGAGGCTGAGGCGGGAGAATCTCTTGAAACCGGGAGGCGGGGATTGCAGTGAGCCGAGATTGCACCACTGCACTCCAGCCTGGGCAACAGAGCAAGACTCCGTCTAAAAAATATATGTATATTTTTGAGGTCAGGAGTTTGAGACCTTATAATATACATACATAAAAGGATTTTCCACTTTGTGTGGGGTTGGTGCCCGAGTCCCCCATTGATCAAGGACCAACTGCGTATCTCAATGAAGCTGTTAAGACAAAAAAGACTTGCCCAGACTCCCTGAACAGGGTCAGGGCTGCAGCAGCCAAATGGGCTTGGGAGGGGCTGGCCGGCTGCGGCTCTGTTTTCACTCTGCAGGGTCCCTGGGTGTTTATTCAGCAGGCCTGGGCCCTGCTCCCCACCCGGCCAGAGGCCTCCTCTCCTCCCCGGACTCTTCCCAGAGGATGTTTTTCCAGGGCCCGGCTGGGCAAATGGCATTTGGATTCTGGCCGGGGAAGCCTGGGGGACAGTCCCCACGTCCCAGCCCCATTTGGAAGCAGCCTGTTTCCTCCAGTGTCCGGCCGGAGCCCTGCGGATTCATTCTTGGCCACCCGCTGCCCCTCGGAGCTGTGGGACCCCAGGGGGTGCCCCTCCTGGGCTGTGCTGGCCTCGGCAAGGCTGGGCCGGGCCCCCCTGAGCGTGAGGGACCTGGGGAGGGGCGCAGGCGGGAGCCTTGTGTGGTCTCCCTGTGATGATATTCGGGGCCCCTGACCTCTGCCCGGGGAGGGAATATGTGGGGCGTCAGGGCACACGGGGTGCACAGCTCAGCAGCCCAGGCAGGCGTCTGGTGGAGATGTCCCGCACCCCACCCCACCCTCCGCCCCAGCTCCCGCCTTCCCCACCCCCAGACGCGGCCCCTAATCACAATGCACTTCCCACAGCTGGTCCCCACACCGAGCTCTGCACCATCCGGATTGAGTGGGGGTGGGCGGGAGTTTTCCCAGAAACGGACCTGTGAGTCACCACCAGCCCAGGAAGTGGCCGCCTCCTGTCCAGCCCCCCAGCTGACCACTGGGCCTCAGTGTGGATCACAGAGCAAGGCCATCCATGGTGACCCGAGGACTGACTGAGCGCCTGCCGCCCCGAAACCTCCAGGCGCTCCCAGGCTGTGCGTGAGACTGTGGTCAGCAGCCCCATGCGGCCCCCCATGGAGGTGCAGGAGGAACAGGTGTTCTAGGGAGGAGAGAGTTTCAGGGAGCCCCCGGGGGCCCTTCCTAGAGGGGAACGCATGTGGGGAGCCCTGAGGTCAGAGCCGATGCGCTTGGGAAGGAGGCCTGGGGGGCTGCAGCTCAACAGGAGGAGCCAGGCTGGGCCCCGAGAGGGAGAGCGGGGCCTTCCCAGGGGCTGTCAGGCCAGGGGTGCGACCAGGAAGCCCAGAGGAGGCGTGGAGCAGCTCCTGGGCCCCAGTCATCCAGCCTGGGATGTGAGAGTAGAGGGGACCAGAGAGAGAAAGACGGTGGCCCCAGGCCACACAGAAACCCAGGCAGGACCCTAAAACCCAGGCCTCGTCCCGTTAGCCTCCAGCCGCTCTCCGAGGTACCTTGCAGAGGATGGGACGGCAGTGGGGAGCCTCTTACATCAGGAACCGGGGTCCCAGATGGTGCTCGGAGCCTGGAACTGCAGAGGGCCGTGTCCGTGGCTGTGCCGCTCTCATAGGGTACACCCCGGCACCCGAGGGCCGAGCAGGGACCCAGCCCCTGTCACAGCACCCGCCAAGCTTCTGGGTGGCACTGCGGCGGGGTGGGTCAGGGAAATTTGTCAGCTGGGGCGGCCATGACGGAGTCGCACAGGCCCCGGTGGTTTCAACCACAGGGACTGATCCTCCTGGAAGCCCGAGATCCAAGTGTTGGCTCCTCTGAGGCCCCACTTCCCGCTCTTGCACACCATTTCGCTGAGGCGTCCTCACGTGGCCGTCCCTCCAGTCATGTCTGTCCCAATCTCCCCTTCTTACAAGGACGTCAGTCATATTGGATCAGGACCACCCTGTCTTACCTTGACGACCTTTACCTGTCTTCAAACACAGTGACATGCCGAGGCCCTGGGTGCTAGGGCTTCAGCTTGTGAATCTGAGGGCCTTTGTCTGCCCAGGCCCAGGCACTTCCTCCCTCTGTCCTGCAGGCCGGCAGGCGCCTCTGCCTCCACGGCCTGGCCTTAGCCCTGCCTTCATCCCACCTCCCCTCTGGGACTGGGGATGGGGCTGGGAGGCCAGACCGGCTTTGGGGAAGTTACCTGACCTCCCAGACACGAGGTCTTCGTTTACAGGATGTGGCTGTGTGTCTCGCTGTGACTCTGGGGAGGGACAGGGCTTAGCCAGTGCCTAGCCGGACGCCCACACCCAGCACACCTGCCTGGACGCCCACACCCAGCACACAGTAGGTGCTCAGAAAACGCAGCCCAGACTGTCGGAGGCAGAGGGACCCGGGGCCCCTGGAACAAAGCTCTCATTGAACTGGTAGAGAACAAGGCCAGAGAGCCCTGGGCACCTCCCCTGTCTTCCAAGGCCTCTGGGGACCCCTGTCTCCACCGAGACCCCTCTGCCCCTGCCCCTCCGGTGACTCGGTGGTTCCCATGACAGTGACAGCAGGGCCCCTCCCGCCCACCGCAGGCTGGGGCTGCCCTTTCGCTTCTCCCTCTCCCTTCTGCCTACTCGGATCTCACCAGCCTCCTCCGAGGGCCTGTCTGGCCTGCCCAGTCTGTGGGACCCTAGACACGGGGACGATTCCCCACCATCTCTTGGGAAGGGCTGTAGTCACGGTTCAGCTCCAGCCGGGGGGGTGCTCCGGCTCCCAGTGGCCACAGGACCCCGGTGTTGGGGCTGAACCTCGTCAGTCACCCCATCACCGGCTGAAGACCCCCGGTGCCTCCCATGCCCCCTAAGACGAGGGGGCTGCCTGGAGCACGTGCCCTTGGGGTGACTGGTCCAGGTCACCAGGGACGCTGCCCAGGAGCACCTGTGAGGGGCTGGCCTGGCTCCCGTTGTCAGGCACGTGAGGCTGCGTGGCGGCTGCATGGGACTTCGCACCCTCGTCCCCAGGTAGAAGTGGGCGTGGATACCCCCCAGGATGGTCGCAGACCCTCCCCGTCCCCCTTCAGGGATGGGGCCAGGTGGTTCGCAGGCTGAGCCTGGGCTCCTGGATCTTGCAGGCAGAGGAGACACAGCAAGAGGTCTCCAGCCATCTGGGCCATGGTGCACTTGGGGAAACTGAGGCATGTCAGGCCTGAGGTTTCTCCAGCCCGTCCGGACTGACCCTTGCTGTCTGAGTAGCCTGGGATGTGGGCCCCCACCGTGTCCATCTCATACGTGTCCTCCCTGGCTCCCCACCAGAGAGGATGAGTGTGGAAGGATGTCGGGGGCTGCTTTGCTTCCTCAGGTCAAAGAAACATTGCCCCCCGCCTTCCTGGAGCCCAGATAAGTGGGTTCTCCAGGATCCAGTTCACGGAACATTCCAGGGCCTGGTGGGGTGGGCCTTGCCCCTCCCCCACCTCCCCACGGGGGTGATTTCCTCGGCTCGGCCACTCCCAGGCTCACCTCCAGAAGGGCCAGTTGCTGGACCAGGCAGGTCACAGGCCGAGCTCTGCTTCCAGCTGTCCAAACACGAAGCACCTGCAGGGCAACCTGGGGGTGATGGGGGTGTGGGATTGGAGGCTGGGGGCACAGGCCTAAGGGAGGGCCCGACCCACTTCCCTGCAGGAGCCCTGGCCAGCCCTGCCGTGTCTCAGATCTGCTGCCTCTTTGGATTTAGGAAGTGCCAAAGAGGGCCATTATGGGGAGACCCTCAGGGCTGCAGGGGGAGAGGCTGAGAGCCATGCAAGAGATGTGGGCCGCCCACCGGGTGTGGGAGAGTCGAGAGGACAGGGCCCTTGGAGTTCGGTGGCTCTGGTGTGGGGACTGGCAGGCCCGGGGTCTGGGACCTGCACCCACACAGGAGATGCGAATCCCGAATCGGATGGCGGGAAGCGTTGGGGCCGTGCACTGGGAACAGGCCCGTGCCTCCTGTGAGCTGTGCCGCCACGCTGGGCCAGGCTACGGAGTCGAGCAGCATTGGGTGGGCCTGGCCCTCGGGAGCTTTGCAGGGCATGGGGCTGGTTGGAGCCGAAGGCGGCGACGCCTCCAGGCCAGGTGCCCTCCGGTGAGGGTCTCTGTCCTGTCCTCTGCCCTGTGAGTTGGAGAGAATGACGGCGCCCTGAGCTGCTGCAAAGTGAAAGAGACTGTGGGTGAGAAGAGGCTCGTTGTTGGGGGCAGCTCTGTGAGCTCCTCTACTTGGGGTGATCAGGAGGCTCTGGAAGGAGCGGGCATCCGAGCTTGGCCGGAAGGCCTGGCCCCGGCGGCTGCTGCCCCTGGGACTCCCACATGAAGAGGCTGGGCAGGGGTGTACCTGGAGACCTACCAGACAGGTGCAGAGAGCGGCTGACAGAGAGCTAGTATGGAAACTGCCATCCGGGGCAGTAAACTCCTCAGCATCCAAAACCAGACGGACATGAGAGGGCCCTAGGTGGGGCAGTCAGCCGGGCGCCCCCACCAGCCACAGCCAGCCTGGGAGAGGCTAGGGAAGAGGTGGGCTGGCTGAGGCGTGTGGAGAGGGTTTGGGCTGAAGGAGAGGTCATTCTTTTAAAGGAAAAGGCGACGAGAACTCAGAGTCACTGTCAGCACGTGGTGTTCGGCCTGCTGTCACCTGGGGAAAGCCACAGGTGCTGGGAAGTCCTGTCCGACCGCTACGCCTGTGTGAGAACCACCTGGGGGAGGCCTGGGGAGCTGCCAGCCAAAGCGGGGATCTCCAGCCGGCCCAGCCCTGTTTCTTCCTCTCCTCCCTCCTCCGCACTGGCCAATTTTCCTCCACAGAGCAGGCATTACTTGCCGTTTTGCAAAGCACGTGCTGAGCCCAGCGCAGGCCTGTGGCAGGTGCTGCCAGCCGAGACCTGCCTCGGCGAAGGCCCCACACCAGGCACTTCTGCCCGGTGCAGCCCCTCAAAGCGCAGGAGCTGGGGGTGCAGGCAGCATGGAGGCCGGTTCCAGGGGCACAGCTTGCCTTGGAACTGAGACCTAAGTCCCATGTGGACAGGACCCTGGCCGTCCCCCTGCACCCCCGCGTGGCCGTGGCTCGTCTCCGTGGGCGCCCACTGCTCCGTAAGCATCTGCCATCTTTCACTTCCTTATCCTGTGAGGGAAGTGGTGAAGAAACCGAGGCTGCTGGCTGGGTCACACCACGACCAAGTGGCAGAACCCCACCCAAGTCCCACCGGCCCTGAGGCCAGGCTGTCAGCCACAGCCCAGCAGCCATGGCCAGGCCAGGACACACTGGCTGTGGACACAGGAGCACTGGGCAGTCCGGGCAGTGGAGACTCAGCCCGGGCACCGGGACACGGCAGCCCCCACCTCGGATGTCCCCTGGGGCCAAGGAGGGAGTGGGAGGGAGATGGGTCCCAGGAGAGGATGTGGAGGCCTGGGGTCCCCGGGGTCCTTGGCCTGCCCCTGCTCTCCTGGCTGCCCCTTTGCTGTGGGAACAGCTTCTTGGCTTTCCAGCTGATGGCACATTGGGAGCAAAGATGGGGAGGCCAGGAGAGCAGAGCCCGTGCTGGCACACGTACACTGTCTGGGTGGGAATGAGTGTACCTTCCACCTAGAGGGGCATGTGAGTTGGGCCAAGCAATTGGCAAACATTTCTGGAGCGCCTAATGTATGCCGAATCAAGTGGGGGAAGACAGGGAAGAACTGGATGCACCAGCTGTCCTCAAACAGCCAGAAAAGGGCAGCAGTAGGGGATGCCCCATTACCCAGGTAGGCCAAGACCCCTTCTGGGTGAGGCAGTCCAGGAGGACTTCCTGAAGGAGGAGGAGGAAGAAGGGGAGGAACTTTAGGGACCCTTGGAGGCTAGGCACCTCTCTGGATCTCAGTTTCTCTGAGGCAGGGAGAAGATGCCAGTCCTGCTACGTGGGTTTGGTTGGGTTCTTTTCACCAGAAACAGATGAGCTCACGACCAGGAAGCACTGGAGCTCCCGTGTGCATTTCCTCACTTTCCAGATGGGTGTAAGCATCATGCCCCTGTGTTCACTGGTGAGGCCAGTGGTCTGGGGACCGAGCTCTGGCAGGCACGGGGGCTGCCTTGCGCTGCCGGCACCCCCAGAGGAGGCTGCGGTGCTTGACCCCGACCCACAGAGCCCGGCTGCTTCAGTGACTTGTGATCACAGAGCAGTCCTAGGCCGGCACCACACCGGGGTCTGGGCCAGCGGCACTCACCGTCAGGAGGTCGCACACAGAGCGGAGAGGAAGCCGGGCCAGGAACTCTGTGGTGCACCGCGGTTGTTTATGTTGACCCAGGAACTTGTGCAACGAACTGGGGCCCGGAAAGCTGGCTGCCCGTGGCCACACGCAAGGGGCAGGCCGAGGGGCCACCCAGGAGGCCGCCCAAAAGCCGGGGTGGCTTGGGCCATCCCACCAGGTCGCACCCACCCAGCTGGGGTCGCAGCCCAGGAACGGTGAAAACTGAACATCTCTCCTGGCCCTGCAGGACCCTCCCCAGCCTCTGCCCCTGCGCGGTGGGGGAAGAAGAGAGGCAGGAGGCCCGTGTCTCCTGGAGTGACAGCCTCGCAGAGGACAGCCTGGAGTGTGCAGGGGAGAGGAAGTGGGGAGGGGGCTGCAGACCCTCCCTCAGGACTCCTGGGCCTCCGCCAGGCTGGCTTGGGGTTGGTGGGGCTGCTTGGGCCGTGGCTGTCTCAGCTCCTCTGACAGAGCTCCGGCCACAGACCCCAGAGCCCCAGCCAGGCCGGTTGCCGGGGACTGGAGGGGGTGTGGGGCATTTCCAGCCCCCCCCGCACCCAACCAGCGCCTTCTATCTGGAGTGGCCTGGCCCCACCCAAGACAGTCGCCCACAGCAGAGATAGACGCTGAGACCCGAGTGCAGGGCCGGCTTGGGCTGGAGAGCTGCTCCACGTCTGCTGAGGGCACCTGGAGGGGACGCCCAGGGGCTCCACACAGCTTGGCAGAGCCTGGTAGCCTGGGCAGCCCCTGGAGGAAGCAGGCCAAGGCCTGGAGAAGGGGGCGAGCTGCTGGGGTCACACGCGCATTTGGTCAGGGCCCGCACTGAGCTCAGCTTCCCAGACCCTAGCAGTGTCCCTCCGCATGTGGCTGTACCCCTGCAGGCCCCCAGGTGCTCTCCGCCTGGGAGGGACCTCAGGATGGAGGCCGCAGCCCCCTGTGCCTGTGGGGCTGCCACTGTGGCATCCCCAGCCTGCAGGCCTCTGCCCGGAGGAGCCAGTGCCTCCCTCCGCACCAGGCCCAGCATGTGATTCCTGGGGACCGGGAGGTGATGCCCACCCCACCACCACCTGGGGACCCCGGGCAGAGGTGCGGCGCCTCACCCATGTGGGGGGGTCCTGGGATTCCAGAAAGCCCCCTCTTCCCACACGAAAGGCCTTTCAGGCCCCCTGAGGCCCACCCAGCGCCTGCGGCCAGCCTTCCTCTGTTCTTGCAACACCCGCCTGAGTGCCGAGGCAGAAATCTGACTCCCCGGCTCAGGCCCCAACGTGCCGGCCGCCCTCTCGGCAGGCTGCTCTCCCACGGGGAGGGCGCACCAGGCACAAGGACCCTGTGGAGACCTGCTGGTTCTGGGAGGCCGTGGGGGGTCCTGCCCTGCCCCGTCTCCCTGGGAAAAGGTGCTCCGTGCACAGACCCTTGGCAGTGAGTTCCACCGAGGCCCCCATACCATGGCTTTCCTGCCTCTGAACAGGATGCTCGCCCAGGACCCTCACCAGATGCACAGGCTGTGGCAGCCCCAGCCTGGCCCACGGCTGCGAGAGTCTGAGCCATCCCACCTCTCACAGGCAGGGCAGGCTGTGAATGACCACGTCCCTCAGGTCCCACACTGCCCCCAGGCTGACCTCCCCAGCACAGACTCTCTCAGCTCACGGGGGATGGGAGGGACCCTCGGGTGTGGAGTCTTGCCCTCACCCCAGGGACCCTGGGTGCTGGGGGAGATGGTGGGTTCTGCCCAGGCACGTATGGGGCTCACGACGCCTCTCCAGGACATGATCAGAGCCAGGGTGAAGAGGCAGGGCTGGGTGGGCTTGTGGGGCTGGGTGGGGGTAAGCTGGCTGGAGGCCCACAGGCCCATGTCTAGCTGAGCCCAGCCTCACCGTCCCCCTGCTACTCCTAGGCTGGGAACAGGTGGCCTGGTGCCCTCGGCTTTCCGTTCGCAGCGCCGGCCGCCACAGGTGGGGTGGGTAGCGGGGGCCTTCCTTCCTTTGCAGCAGATGGTAAAGGAGCTGTGGTGACTTGGCCATAAGCAAGGGTGGCCCCTCCCTGCGGGGGACGCTGCCAGGGCAGGATGCTCGAGGTGGGCTCGGTGGAGGAGGGGCTGGCCGTGCGATCAGGAGGCTTCTGGAGGTGGGCAACCTCCTCTCTACTCCAGGGCCAGGCCCCTGCCATCCTCCATGCTGGACCTGGTCGCGTGTGGTTGTGCAGGTTGGGCACTGCTCCCAGGACCTGGGGCATCTTTCTAAAGTGTGAATTGGACGTCTTCGTGCATCAGCTCAACCCACCTGCTGCCCGAAGGATGAAGCCCGAGTCCTCAGCCACTGCCTGTCCCCCAGTCCCCCACCTCATCCCGTGTGAGTCCTCTGAGAGCCAGGCCGGCAAGCTGCCCTGCTGTCCCCATCAGTGCCTGGTCACACGTGCCATTGCTGTGTGGTCCCTGGGACATCTCCTCCCCTTGTCTTTGGGCGCTGCCACACCCGGAGTGGCCTAAATAAAGCCACTGTGGAATCTCCAGGGTCCAACAGGAGCCTCACACTCTGAGGTTTTGCTGGTGAGGGTCCCAGGACTAGAGCGCTGAGTAAGCCGAGTGCTGGGGGGCAGACAGGCCCAAGAGAGCCTCTGGTCAGGGCCCAGCACAGCCCAAGGCAGATGAGGACAGGTGTGTGGCCCACCAGGGAGGGCACGGGCGGGATGTCAGGCCTAGCCCCATGCCCCGGGCTCCTGAGTCCTGTAGCCCCCAGGGCCTGCGCCCTGCCTCTTCTGCCTCATCACACGGACACGTGGGGAGCAGCCTGGACCTTCCCTTCTGCACAGGGGCCTTGTCCGGGCACCGCTCTCCCCAGCTATGGTGCCGTCCCTGCTGTTTCTCAGGCACATCAGTCATCCTGCAGCCGCCTGGGGCATGAAACGCCTCTTCCTGGGAGCCTCCCCGGAGCTCCTGGGCACAGACCGTGTCTCCCCAGTCTTGCTGGGGCCAGGGCTCAGCCCCCTTCACGGAGTCCTGAGGGGCCTTTGTGGGCCTGGTGGGCTCTGGGGCCATTTGAAGCCCCTTTGTGGTGCAGAGACTGGGTGGCCTAGGTGAGCTGCGTCCTTGCTGGGTGCCTCAGTTTCCCCATGTGTGAAGCAGACAATATGTCTAAAGCCAGTTGGCCTAGGAGGCTCCAGCCAGAGCTCCGTGATGGGGGACCCACCTCTGATGCTGCTGGGCTCTCAGGGCAGCCCCGGCTGGTTCCCACCAGGCAGCTCCTGATGCGGAGAGCGGGCACATGCCCGGGCAGCACCCTCCACAGCTGGCTGCTCGGAGGATGGCGTGACTGCCCCACCCCCACTGTGAGCTCATGCCCGTCAGGGTCAGGGTTAGGGTTTAGGGAGGCCCCGTGCACTCCTGGCTCTGGGCCCCTCCTCCTTTCTCCCTCCTCCTCTCCGATAGCCCACAAAGGACCCAGGACCACTCCTGGGACCCAGAGACCAGGCCTTGGTGCTCCCGGGCCCTGGGTGAACGCTGGGAATGTGGGGCACCCTATCCTGGGAACCCCGGGGCTGCCAAGGAGGCCCAAAGACTCTGGGCTCTGTGTCTGACTCGGGAGAGCAGGGTATCGCTGGGGTGGCCCAGGCCCCACACCTGACCCAGGGCCCACCGCAGCCCAGATCAGTGACCCCAACAAGGAAGGAACTGCTCTGGCGAGTCTCCCCCACCCCCACGGACGCCTGCTGGCCATGTGGCCACACACGCAGCTCTGCCTCCTGTCCTGATGGAGATAACTATTTAGCGCCAGCTGTGTGCAGCCACGCACTGCTTCAGGGGCAGAGCTGAGGGGCAGGGGTGGCAGCTGCAGCCAAGGGGCCAGCCCTCAAGGGGGCTGGAGGTGGGCACTCTCTGCCCCAGCTCCAGGGCAGGGCCGGGGGCAGGGGCCGGGCAGGGCAGAAGCTGGGGGCTGGGCTCAAGAAGCGAAGGTGGGCGCTGGCTGGTACTCACACCTGGCCCCACGCCACACCCTCCTCCCCGGCTCAGCACTTTCTCACGCTCGGAGCTGGCACGGGGGCCGCGCTGGGGCTTGTCCTGGCCCGGGGAAGGCGGGCGAGGCTTTCCTCTGGGCCCGGGGGCAGGGGCCGCTGCAGGTTGGGACACGTCTGGAGTGGGGGAGCCCGTTTGCAACACCGGCCGAGCAGCTGCAGGATCTCGTGGGGCTGCAGGAGGCCCAGCCCCCACTGCACGTGTCCCAGCCCGCTCGGTCCCCAGAGAGGACGGGGGCACAGGCAGCTCCCAAAACAAACGTGGACCCAGAGACCCTGGCCAAGGCCCTGTCCTTCCCTGGTCCTCCATGTTCTCCCTTTGAAACTGGGGATCCTGGTCAGAGCATCTATGTAGGATCTTGTTCGCACAGCACACACCACACCTCGTCTGGTCCTGGGATGGTCAGCGGCATCTCAGCCTCAGCACTACTCTCTGGAGAGTGGGGCGACGGGGCCGTGTCAGCTGCTGGGAGGCTCCCAGGAGGAAGTCGCACACTCGGGGCCCTTGCCCAGCTGTATGGTGGCTGTGTCTTCAGGACATGGGCAGTCAGGAATTCTTAAGGGCCCCTGAGTCTGAGGGCTGGGGATGGAGGCCTGTGGCCCCTGGCTCTCAGCCTCACCTAGCCCCAGGCTTTGACCTCAGAGCTGTCTGGCCAGAGCTGCTGGGGCTCCTCAGCCCCCTGGAACTGGGAGCTGGGCATGGTCACCCTCAGACAGTGCACCTGCCCCAGACCTGCTCCAGCTGCCAGCCAGTCTCTCAAGAGTCGGCCAGGCCCCTCTGGCCACACAGGCCCCGACCCCTGCACGAACCCACCGGAGGTGATGCCCATCTGGAGGGCTCGCCCACAGACTCCTGGGATGGGCCTCTGGTTCCAAGGACAAACTGTCTCCTCCTGGGACCCACCCGCCTCAATGGCTCTGTAGGGACCCAGGCTGTTGTCTGCCCCCAGGAACAGCCAAGGCCCCCGTGAGTCCTTGGCCAGTCAGATTTATCACACTGGGATAAGAGACAAGCCAGAGGGGCCTTGGATGGCTCCCGTCCAGCCATCACTCCTACCCACTCTGTTCCTGAGGAAACTGAGGCCCATGGAGGCGCAGGCCCATGGCTGGCTTCCTGAGCCACAGGACCTGGGGAAAGCGCCCGGCCTCTCCCACCTTGGTCTGAAGGCCTACAAAGCCCTCCATCTCTCCAGCCCCTCGCCCTGGGGCAGGAAGGCGGGAACGGGGACACAGGGCTCTGGGGAAGGGAGCTCACGGGTTAGGAGCTCCGTCCGCAGGAGTCTTGTGCTGTCCTCAGAGCCGGGCAGGGTGAGAGGCAGGTCCCCTGGGAGGCAGCCCCCGACACCCAGCCACTCTCTGGCAGCCTCCCAGGCTGGCGTGGGAATGTGGCTGGCGGGAACGGGGCCTCTCCCCCGGGGAATCAGCTGCTGGGTGCTGGCCAAGAACACTCTGATCCAAAGAGGAAGCAAAGTTCAGCTGCAGCAACTTGACCCAGGACAGCTGGGGATAAATGGACGGCCAGGGCAGAGGCAGAGACTGTCCAGACCGAAGCAGGTTGAACCCTGACCCCTGCCATGGTCTGATCCTTAATCCCAGCCACAGTCTGAGCCCTGATCTGAGCTATAGATTAAGTCTTGACAGACACAGTCTGAGTCTCTACTCCAGCTATGGACTCATCCCTAATCCCAGCTACAGGCTGACCTCTGACCCCAGTCACACACTGAACCCTGATCCCAGCCATACACCAAGTCCTCACCCCAGCCACAGACTAATCCCTGAGGCCACCTATAGGTCTACCCCTCACCCTGGTCACAGACTGAGCCCCCATCACCAGTCCAAATTGACCCTTGATCCCAGACTAAGCTGAGCCTTGATCAGAAGCATAGACTGACCCCTGATCCCAGCTACAAGCCAAACTCTGCTCCCAGCCATAGCCTGAGCCCAGACACAGGCACAGAATGAGTTCCCATCCCAGTCAAGGGGTGACCTCTGACCTCAATCAGAGCCTGGCTTCTTATCCCAGGCACAGACTGACCCTGGCTCCAAACCCATCTTAGCCTAAGCTCTGTAGATCTCCAACTCAAACTCTGCCCATTGCACCCCCAAACCCCAGACTGAGACCATCCCGAGTGGCATTTGCTGAGGGCGAGCGCCTCCCGCTGCTCTGGAAGTGACTGTCAACTCTGCTGGGCCCCATCACACCTCCCTGGCTACCGTGTCCCCTCCTGGTCCTGCACTTTCAAGGGGACTCGGGCCAGGTGGAGCGGGTGCAGGAGGGAGGCCAGGCGCAGGCCAGGGGGCAGCTGAGGGAGCCAGTCTGGCCAGTGTGGGGCTAGGAGGCCAGGTCGCCGGCTTGCCAAGTGCCTGCTGTGTGCCGGCACGTCCCCTCCGCCACCTCGACTCTTCCTAGACAGCACCAAAAGATGGAGAGCCAGGCTGGACGGGGCAGCGACGGCAAAGCAGACAGCAGGTGCACAGTGGCCGAGCTCCAACCACGTCCATCCAACCCCAACCTGGTCGGCCCTTGCTGGAGACAAACTCCAACACCACACAGCAGATGCCCACCTGCGGGGTGGGACTGCGGGGGTGGCAGGGGATCCTGGGCTGGTAGAGTGCCCTGGGGTGCTGGAGATGCCTCGGACCGGGAAGCCAGAGCCTTGCTGGGTCGGGGCAGGGCGGGGCAGGGGCGGGGGCAGGGCTGGGGCGCCTGCATTCTCAGCCCTTGCAGCTGCCAGCCTGGGGTCTGATGCTGGGAATCCCACGCTGGGGGAGAAGAAGCTGTTTATTGGGAGCTGAACGATCCCTCTAATCTCTGCCTTATCGCCGCCTGTTTGCCCAGTGAGAGTGCAAACACAGGGGTGGAGGTCACAGGGCTGCGGGGAGGGGCCCACACTATTTGCCCGACTTCTCCCAGTGGTGTTAAAAATAGCACAGAGCTCTGGGCTCAGAGGGGTCTGCGGTGTTCCCGCCTGGGCCCCAGCCCACGGGCACCAGCTGCCAGGTGGAGGCCTGAGGCGTTGACACTCCTCGGCTCTGTTTGGCTTCTGATAGCGGCCCAGGAAGGTGTGGCCGGAGGGGCCCTTTCTCAAGAAAAGCCCGGAGAAGTGGTGTCCAGCCCCCTGCCCTGCCCACCTCGCCGCCCCCCACACCATCCCAGCCCACACCTGGACTGGGGGCAGGCGGGACCCAGGAAGTAAGTACCCAGCTGGAGTAAGGGGAGGGGCTGGAGGCCAGCTCCCAGTTCTCTGCTGCTGCCAGGACTAGCTGGGGCTGGGGTAGTGAAGCCCCAGGGAGAGGTGGGCCCAGCACCGAGTCTGAGCCCAGCCAGGGAGCCC